TCAGACGATATTTCTGACCTGAATATAATACACCCAACACATAGTGTTGTAAAGTGAAAAAAAAATTTACAAAAAGTAAAAATCCAATATCGCAAGACAAGTTAAAAAATCTCATGCGATAAAAATTATGACAAACCCGCAAGGAAAGCTCCAATTTCGAATTGGGACATTTACAGGGAGAGATAAAAAACTGCAACAAAGTCAAACGCCATTATTTTTACTATTTATACCCTCTATAGAATGGAGTTGTTTAAAAATCATGAAATTAAGATTTTCTCCACAAATATGGATCTAATTTTTATAGCTTTTTTAAGTAGCCGTCATTCGGTCCTAGCTTGAGATCTTTTCGAAAACCGTCTACGCGACCCATAGTTTTTCTAAATTTTATATATAGAGATATAGAAATCACACTATTCCATCACGAATAACGCTTGAATTCCATCACGAATAACTTTTTTTTTGGAAAATTCTGACCAAAATGCTTTTGTAGGCTTGTAAACAATATAACGAACTGTCACTGGAATAATTTTAACAGCTGTCGGACGAGTGGCTTAGAAATGACAGCATTCTGAAGTTGGTTGCAATTTTTTCATTTCACCCTGTGTGCTTCGTAGGGTCTAACATGGGTATTTCGAGAAGTTACAAACGGAAAGACAAAGTTAATATACCCTCTATAGAATGGAGGGGTTTAAAAATCATGAAATCCAGATTTTCTCCACAAATATGGATCTAATTTTTATAGCTTTCTTAAGTAACCGTCATTCGGTCCTAGTTTGAGATATTTTCTAAAACCGTCTACGCGACTCATAGTTTTCTAAATTTTACAACTTTTTTAAATAGCCGACCTTCGGCCGGGACATGCGATTTTCTACTTTGGGTTATGTCCAACACCGGCTACCCGATCTCCGGTCCCTATAATTACAATGGGAATATGGAAGTTCACCAAAAAGGATTTATGTATTTATATCGATCCCATCCAATACCTGCACAAACAGTTAATACCCTGTAAATTGTGTGTGGTGTAGGGTATTAATATAACTGTATTTCAAGATAACACAACAAAACTATTAAAAGAAACGGATATACTCCTCTATCCTTTACAACCATCCCTCGTAATTACTGTTGCTTCCAATGTTTGATTTCGAATTTATGTGGTTTAATAAACGTGCTCGCCCATTCATTACAAAACAAAAAAAAAAACTTTTCAAGATTAATGATGCCATGAAATGAAGAATAAATAATTTAAAATTAAATACAACATTGATGAAAAGGACACAGATTGATAGAGACTAGCAAATGCCTGTGTGAGTTGAGAAAGAGACAATGTAAAATGAATACTTGATGACCATCCACAGCGCGGTCACTTTCATTTATACCTAGGAAGCCCTATCCTCCGTCAAATGAAATTCCATCAAATATTCGAATAGATTAATTGTTTTACACTTGAGATGAATATAATTAACGATGATTATATTAAGATTAACATTCCATTCATATTCAAAAGACTTTCATAATTCATTTGCATTATTTGATTAATGCAAATTTCTTTGAAAATATTATTATTGTCATTAGTGGTTGTGGCGGAGGTTATGAAAAATTATTGAGAAAACTGTCAGTAGGGCAGTGATGTGGGTCAGATGGGGGGTCAACTCTTTTTTATCTAAGTGTTTTCCTTGAAACACTCTTAACGTTTCATTACTGTTATTTCATAGACGTAGTTATATATTCTATATATTTCATTGTGAGGATATTTATTATAATCCTTATAAATACTTTTGAGAAATTTTAATTTGATTAGAAGCTGCTAAACTGCCCACCTATGTGACACACAGCGAACACTAAAGGAATGCAATTGCTATTATTTTATATTTATCTACTAGAATATTTACAAAAGATACCAATAACAATGACATTCATTGGAAATGGCTTCACAAAACTAACAAAAGCATCAACTACTCATATAATCGTATTGAAAAGAAGCAGCTTAAAATCATATTAGTGTTTACTTTTCAATATACCATGACATATCCATGGCATCAAAATCGAATTCACAGAAGCGTTGTTTCTGCCTTTAGAAAATAAGGTAATTTGCTTTTATGGTATCAGCAGGCGACAAACACAACAGCTGAAGTACACAGGCAATTTATTAGTTTTGAATTGTTCTTCGAATTGAAACTAATTGTCGTACAATGATGATTGATTTTATCTCTGAAATTGCATAATTTTGAAAAAAATACAATATAAGTCCGGTTAAATAGAAATATCAAAAGAGCAAATATATGTAGCAGATAATAATGTTTTGAAAATAAAAAATAAAATAAAATAAAATAAAATGTAAAATAAGGGTCCGATTGTCGCACATTTCAATATCTGTACCAACACAAGTCTGATGTGATGAAAGTAGATATAGTCCCACTCCTTCTAGAACCTCCCCCCATAACATGTTCAACATTTTGAATAACAATTGAAATAATCTCAGATTCCATTCAAAGTCGGCACACCCCAATAGTTATATCAACACAAGATCTAGGGTGAATAAGAAATATATATCAACCGCACCATCAAGAACATCCCCACAGAGGGTAAACATTTTGGAAAATTATAACTCTTTTAAAATAAGAAAAACCAGTAAAGAAAATCTTAACGTCGTGCAGGGCCGACTGTATTTAATATTTGACATATTTCCCTGAATATCGTTGTTACGGAGTGCATATTACGGCTGAGAGTAACAAATATAACAAATCAGATGAACAATATATATGAGAGCTATAGCTTTATCTGAACCGATCTTCACCAAATTTGATATACTAGCTTCTAGACTCAATTCGGTCGTAAGTGCCAAATTCCATCCCATTTGGGCAAATATTAGACGTTTGATGCACAATAAAAAGTAAATCGGACGATGTTATACATGGGAGCTATATCCAAATCTGAACCGATCTCGATAAAATCTAGCAAAGATATTTCTGAGCTGTATTTGATATATACCCAAAATATTGTTGTTACAGAGTGCATATTACGGCTGCTGAGGACAAAAATAACAAATCGGATTAATAATATATATGGGTTGTCCATATTCGACGGACCCATCTGGCAACGCCATAACTTTTGACAGAGATGTCACATCGCTTAATGACATACCGCGTCTGAAGCGTCAGTCCAAGCAGATTTTTACCATGAACCAATACACGCCACGCGAGCGCTCTGAAATAGTTGAATTTTACATTCAACAGAAGAAGTCAATTGTGAAAAAAAAATGTGAGAAGTGCGCCTTCTAAGAACAACATTAAGGGTTTATACGAAAAATTTTCGACTGGTAAGGCTATTTCTATCCGAAGAGGCCATATAAAAGTCGACCAAGAGAATATCGCTGCCGTACGAGCCAGTGTTGAGAGGTCCCCAAGAACATCCCAAAAATCGCCGTTCTCAGCAGTTGGGCATGGCTCGGTCCACTTTACAACGGATCATTCGCATTGATTTGCATTTGTTCCCGTACAAAATTCAATTGACGCAAAGAATGTTGCCTGCTGACAAGCCTCGTCGATTGGAATGGTCCGTCGAATATGGGCAACCCTGTATATCTGAACCGATTTCGATCAAATTTGGCATACTTACTCGCCATACTATTCGGGCTGATATTACACGTTTGGTGCACAATAAAAGGTAAATCGGACGAAGCTATATCTAAATTTTTATCGAATATCTCCAATTTCAATAGGGTTCATCATTGGGCCAAACAAATGAATTGTGCAAAATTTCATCTCGATCGGGCAATAAATGCGAACTGTACTTTGTTTACAAAAATACTGATAGACGGACGGACATGCATAAATCGACTCAGAATGTGATTCTATGCTGATCATAGAACTCATCTTTACCATTATTTTAGGTACCTCCTCCACAAAGGGTAAAATAATAATATTTATATTAGCCATAGAGGTAATGTAAATATGAAATATTTCTGTCCATTCCTTCTGGTACCTCCCCCACAACACTTTTTTTTCTCCGCCCTCCTCCACAAAGGGTAAAATAATAATATTTCTATTAGCCATAGAGGTAATGTAAATATGAAATATTTCTGTCCATTCCTTCTGGTACCTCCCCCACAACACTTTTTTTTCTCCGCCCTCCTCCACAAAAGTTCAACATTATCCAAAAAAAATATGTACAACTATCTAAAAAGGGGAGGAAGTAGACGATATAGTTCAAACCTGGCACTTCGCAAAAATTATATCAAAATTATATCATATACCAAATAGAAAACATTGGCCCATTCCTTCGACACCATTCCAGTGAAGGGTAAACGTTTTGAATAATCTATCAAAATATATGTTATTGTCAGACATAAAATTCAGAATTCAAAACTTTTCCCAGTTTCCTCCAAAAAATGTTTCAGATATCAATAATATTTAGCCTGTGCAAAATATTGTCCAAATCCGTTCATATTTACATATAGGTTCAATACTTGCATATATTCGCCCGATCTAAATTTTTTGTATACGTCCCCCAAATCTGTAGTACGTTCTCCATAATAAGTACATATTTCGTACAACATATCAGATAAAGACTAGAAATTTTTGCCATACAATTAAGTTCCGACTAGAATAAAGTGTGCCAGGTGTGGACCAGACATAACTACTGCCCTCTTAAATCTTCTTGAGATCGAGTAAGATTAAGATATACTTGTTGCATCCGAGTTTAAATTAAAACCGCTCTAAAGCCTAATGTAACATTAATTGCGATCATAGTTGTAATGATTCACAAAAATTCAAATGTAAATGATAATCACTCACAGGTAGCTCTGTGAAATACACATTGTGGTGTAGGGTGATATATAGTTTGAAAAATGTTTATCTTAAAAAAGCATGTCGTATTATTTCTATGACGTACTTATATTTTTGTTTCAACATTAAAAATTATAATCAATTCTTTTACTCTGTTTTATATTTTGAACAAAAAAATAAATAAATAAATACACTTTCTCTCTTCTCCCAATTAAGGCGAACGTTTGGATTCAAATTTAACACCAATATTGGAAAAGAACGTAATCAAACATAAAGGTGGTTATTTCATCAAAAGTGGAGATCAAATGATTGAGTATAACAGCAATTTTCGTTTATATATAACAACATGCCTTCGAAATCCCCATTATCCGCCAGAGATTATGGTCATGGTAAGTACGAACAAGAATGTCTTTCTTACAAAAATGAATTGCAGATGTATACACCGAGAAAAATGTTGTTTATTAATAAACCATATATATATGATCGTATATGAAATACAATAAATAATGATACTCTAGACCAGCACGCATATTTAGTAGTTCCATCAGTAGTTCGGTCAATCATACAAATGATGATAAATTATTTTTATGTCCTTTTCGCCTTTATTTCGTGTACCGGAAGAAAAGTACCACAAAAGATTTGTCTACATCAAAATGTTCTACAAAAAATGTTGGTTATATCATTTTAGGCATTTAATCTCACGGACAAAAAAAAACGATAATTTGACATTTCATATTCTTTTTTATACCCTCCACCATACTATGGAGGGTAGATTAATTTTGTCATTCCGTTTGTAACTCCTTGAAATACTCATGTCAGACCCAACAAAGAATATATATTCTTGATCAGCGTAAAATTCTAAGACGATTTAGCCATGTCCGTCTATCTGTCTGTTGTAATCACGCTATATTTCGAACAAATTGAGATAGAAGGCTAAAATTTTGCACACATGTATATTTTGCCAGTAGGCAGGTTAAGTTCGTAAATGGGCCACCTAGGTCCATGTTATCATATAGCCCCCATATAACGGTACATCCTGATATTCGGTATTTTGATGATTTTAGCGACATTATTCACCGGAATTGTTTTGAATTTTTCATTTGAAGTTCGTAATGGATACTACAGCCAAGGACAGAAAATTATCTGTGCAGGTCCACGTCTTCGTATAGCCCCCATATAACGGTACCCCCCGATATTCAGTACATTAGCGACATTATTTACCGGAATTGTTTCAAATTTCGCATATGAAGTTCGTAATAGATACTTCATCCCATGCCAGAAAATTGTCTGTACAGGTCCACGTCTTCGTATAGCCCCCTTATAACAGTACCCCCTATATTCGTATTTTGATGATTTCAGCTACATTATAAATAGTTTTTTCTTCAAGTTTCGCATTTAAATATTGTAATGACTTATGACAAAAGTTGCCTATGCAGGTCCACGTCGTCGTATAGGCATTCGGTATTTTTAAGATTTTAACAGAATTTTTAAGGATTTTTTTTTTTTTTTTGAAATTGCCAAATTTGGCCAAATGGTGGAGGGTATTAAAAGTTCAGCACTTGGGAATATTTTCTTTTTACCCATTGAAAATACATCTTAGTTCCTACCCCAAAAGTAATGTCAAAACCAACCAATATCTGAAGATTTCTTACAGTGTCAATTGCTTCTTCAAAAAATAAACATAATTTATTTTATAAAGCCCTGGCCAAATAGATACATTGTTCATGTCGATGATGGACTTACGGTGATACACTTTATTGTACAATCTCCATGAATTTCACAAATAAAACCGCTCGCAATTCAACGTCTATAATACGAAGCGTAAATCTATTCAAATCGACTTAAACTATTCAAGATTCATTTAACGCAAAACGTTGAATAAGAAAGTGGTTATATTTTTTTCATTTGCATTTTGGCAACAGCAGTTCATTATACTGTATAAATTGATGATGATACCGAAGCTTTGGCGTCAGGCGTCAGAGATTTAACCGAACCAAAATAATATTATGTAAATTCAGATTATCAAGGAAATAAACCTGCGCAATGGAAATGCCAATTATCTATAGGAATTTCTTTGATGTCAATAAATGTATTAATGAAAAATTTAAGGCAAATCAAAAAAGTTGTTATCTAAGGTAAAAAGATTCAACGGGTATATTCGTTCATCACCAGCAGTGACTTAAAATATTAAAATACATAAAGTATACTATAAAAAGTGAAAAAGCAGTAAGTTCGGCTTGGCCGAACTTTGAATACCCTCAAATATTTGAAAAAAATTTGCAAATTTAAAAAAAAAATGAAAAATACTGTTAAATCAGAAATCTTTCAAACATTGGCCATTACGATATTCAAATATGAAACCGGTGAAAAATGTCGCTAAAATCGAAAAATTAGCGCATATAGAGAGTTACCGTTATATGAGGGCCATAAGAAGATCTGAACCTGCATATGCAATTTTTTTTGTCAAAGAATAATAATCGGAACTTCAAATTCAAAATTTTAAACAAGTGAAAAGTTTGACATAAATCATCAAAATACCGAATAACTGTAGGTATAGTTAAACGGGGACTATCCCAAAACTCAGAACCATATTGACAGTTCTTCAAGGATGTTTCTTACATAATGGAAACACACGCTGCCAATTTGCATCAGATTTGGGTAAAAATTAAAACTAAAACACCCAGAAACACTTAAATCTGTGGGTACAGTTATATCGGGGCTAAACACAAACGTGGACCTACATATCGCCCATTTCCAATACCAAAAGTCCACCTTAAAATTTTAAATTCGATACAACAGTTCGCGTTAGGCCTTTCTACTACTCAAAATCCAAATTTTCTGTCCAAAACTATGTCAACGTCCCACCAGATACCAAATTTAGTACCATTTAGTAATCTTCGTTCAATTATAATACACATTACCAAACCCCCTCCATATCTCAATTTCATATACAAACAGAGACCTCAATGTCAAATGTGAAGATTCTAGCGCAATATCTTCACCGAACACGATTTTTTTTGATTATTTAGTCAGTTAAATTAATATATACTCTATATATAGTTCAAAATATCGAAATAAATGGTTTTCTGCTAAAACTGTAACCTCCAATTACTGCCAAGTTTGTTGAAAAATTTTGTAATAGTCAAAAAATCTGACAGGAAGCGAGATAGACCCATAGTTACTTTTGAGGATCTTCATAGAATCACTTTCTGAGTCGATTAATGCATGTCATTCCGTCCGTCCATGTATCTTGTGAACAAAATGTATTTATTATCCGATTGAGATGAAATTTTCCAAACAATATTTATTTGGCCCTAGGACGAACCCTATTGAAATTGATGATAATCGGAACAGATTTAGATATAGCTCCCATATGTATATCTTCAACAGATTTCGGGTTAATTGTGCACCAAATGGCCAATATGAGTCCAGATGACTTGAATTTTGGTACATCCCACCGAATTCAATCTAGAAGCCAGTACATAAAATTTGGAGAAAATCGGTTATAGCTATAGCTCCCATATATATTTTATGCGTAATATGCAATCCACAAGAATGATATTGGTACCGGACATCAGATACTGCTCGAATATACCTCTGTCAAATTTTATAGAAATCGGTTCAGATTAGGATATAGCCCCCATATATGTTTTTATTCGATATCAGGTTAATGGTATACCAAATGACTTATATCGACCCAATTTTGGCAATTACGACTGAATTCATGGTAGAAACCAGTACTTCGAATTTGGTGTAAATCGGTTCAGATATAGCTATAGCTCCCATATATATGTTTGATCCGATTTGGGGTTTAAAGTCCCTCACCAGCGTAATATGCATTCCACAACAATGATATTTGGTACCAGATATGAGGTACAGCTCTGAAATAAGTGTATCAAATTTTTTCAAGATCGGTTCAGATTTGGATGTAGATCCCATATATAGCTCCCACATATATTTTCTACCGATTTCGGATTAATTACCAATTAGCCAACATCAGTCGGAATGACTGAATTTTGGCATATCCAATCGAATTTAGTCTAGAAGCATGTACATCGAATTCGGAAAAAATCGGTTCAGATATAGCTATAGCTCACATATATTTGTTTTATCCGATTTGGGGTTTAAAGTCCCTCACAAGGGTAATATGCATTCCACAACAATGATATTTGGTACCAGATATCTTAGAGAGCTCGGAAATATCTTTGCCAAATTTTATCGAAAACGGCTAAGATTTGGATATAGCTCCCATATTCGATTTCATGTTTATTGTGCAAATAATGGCTAATATCAGCCCAAACGACGTGAATTTTGGGACGTACGTTTTCATTTGGTGAACTATTCTCCGATATAAATTTCTTTACTGTAATCCTTCTCACTCTATAACAATATCATTTGGTATAAAAGATTAAAATGTCTTCGTCAAATTTAGTGAAAATCGATTCAGAATTCGATATGCCTTCCCTCTGAAACCAAACTATAACTGCTTTAAAGCCAAATGTTGATAAGTGGTATGATCTACTTCAAATAAGTTCTTTTGTTACGGGAGCTCTACGACTTCCCGGTCCCGCCCGACTTCTGACTTTTCCTTACTGGTTTTTATATTCTAGTTTTTAAGGGTTACCGAAGACTTAAAAAGAAAAAATAAAGAAATATAATAGTACTACTTAATCTTATGGCCATAGTATTCAATATTATATTTTCTCATTTGTAACAGTGAATACAATAACTTCTCGGTAATTGAATTAACATAGAATATGATTTTTTCACTTTTAAATTTTGCCAATAGTGATCCGAAAAATATATTGTTTCTGTTTCTATTTGTTGCCTTTTGTATTCGTATTATTAAAGCAATTGTTTGAATTTTATTTTCTCATTTCTTTTTAAGGTAACTGTAATTAATTTCATGATAACTGAACAGGGTCTAAGCGAACAACTACTGGCTACGGTTGTAGCTCACGAGCGTCCAGACTTGCAAGAAAAAAAGGAGCAATTAATTATTGAATCTGCAAAAAACCGAGATTCTTTGTATACCATTGAATCAAAAATACTGGAGGTAAGCACGTTTCATGTTTTCAGTTGTTTTGTTGATATTATGAAAAAAGCTGATGCAATTCATCAATATAGATTTGATTAAATTTTTCTGTGTTGATTCTTTTCTTTACTTATTTATGATTCACTTAAACTTCCGTATGTTTTTTTCGTTCTTTATTTGAAAATGAACATTCGCGAATTTGTGAATGTGTTTGTACAGTCTAATGTCCGTATTTGTAGTGATAGCGCTTGATTTTTCAACATTCAAAATCAAGGTAATCACCTCCGGTGAAAATGCTCTGTGTGTAACCATTGGATTCGTTAACAACCAACTGAATCTATTGTCTTCATATTCTGGCGTTTGAGAATAATTATTACTTCAATGTCTGCGGGAAAACAAAATCCTTTTGCATTTTTAGCCAAATCGATTGAAAAATGTGACCAAACCCCTCGAAATAACTTCGAACAGAGAGAACCTCTATATTGGGGTCTACACCAAAACTAAGAAACCCTTCTTCACTATGAACTCAAAATACCAAAAGTTACGAAGTTAGACGGAAACTGAGACTAAAACGCAAATCATACTTGAAATCGGGATTTACTTTTATATGGGGGCTATGAAACACTGCAACCAAATTCAGACAGCTATTATTTCTAAGCCACTCGTCCGACAGCTGTTATTCCAGTGACAGCTCATAATATTGTTTACAAGCGTACAAAGCATTTTCGTGAAAATTTTGAAGAAAAAAAGTTATCCGTGATGGGATTCAACCGTGATGGTGTGATTTCTTTATATTTGGCTGGAAACCTCAGGTGGCCATCGTTAGAGCACTCCAGCATTTAAATGTGAATAAATCTTTTGTGTTTCATACCATTGCTCGATACCGTGATACTGATAGTGTAGCCGGACGTTAAGGAAGTGGACGGAAAAAACAGCAACATCAGCAGAAATGATCATATCGCAATAGTCCATTCGGCAAATATAGAGAAATGAGATCGCGGTAAAGTCATTGAAATTCCAAAAAAGTGCAAGAATTTGCAACGAAACAGAATAAAATAGTTTCAAAAAAGATAAAGAGTTGCTTCGCTTGGTCGAAAGTGGCGGACTGCCGAATTTGGTTTTCTCCGATGAGAAAACATTCGTTGTCCAGCAGTTTATAAACAGACAAAATGATCGTGTATACTTGCCAAAGAGGTTAGCTGAAAATGTGCACTTTCGGTTGGTCACCAGATCTCAAGCGCCGGCCATGGTGATGGTGTGGACCGCCATAACAACCGATGGTCGCTCTCCGCTCGTATTAATCGACCGTGGCATCAGAATAAATGCCGAATATTATCGCCAAAATATTTTGGAGGGTGTATTAAAGCCTTGGACACGCAAACATTTTTGCTGCAGACCTTGGACATTCCAAGAGGACTCAGCACCATCGCAATCAGCACGAACCACCCAAGAATGGTTACAAAATGAGGTTCTTCGCTTCATTTCCAGCGCACAATGGCCACCAAAATCTCCGGATACCAATCCGTTGGACTATTGTGTCTGGAGTATTTTGGAAAGAAAGGTTGGTTCGTATTGGGAGATTTTAATGGTTACTACAACCTATGGAAAAAATTGTATATGAAGGTCCACGTCCCCCCATATAACGGTACTCCCCGATATTCGGTATATTTATGATTTCAGCTACATTATTCATTATTTGAAGTTCGTAAAGGATACTGCAGCCTACGACCGAAAATTGTCTGTGCAGATACACGTCTTCTTACAGCCCTCATATAACAGTACCCCCCGATATTCGGTATTTTTATGATTTAGGCTACATTATTCACCGGAACTGTTTCAAATTTGTTATTTGAAGTTCGTAATGGATACTACAGCCTATGTCAATGTCTGTGTCTGTGCAGGTCCGTCCGTCCGTCTTCGTATAGCCCCCATATAACCGTACCTCCCTACCGATATTCAATATTTTGATGATTTCAGCGACATTATTCACTGGAATGGTTTCAAATCTGGTATTTGAAGTTTATAATGGATACTACAGTCTAAGACAGAAAATTGTCTGTGCAGGTGTACGTCCTCGTATAGCTACATAACGACACCTCCCGATATTCGGTGTTTTGATGATTTAAGCTACATTATTCGCCGGAATTATTTCGAGTCATCATATAAACCCTAATATAACGACTAAATTCGGTATTTTTAAGATTTTAACAGAATCTTCAAAGGATTTATTATTTTTTTTTTTGGAAAATTGCCAAATTCGTTCCAAATTGAGGAGGGTATTCAAAATGCGGCTCGGCCGAACTTAGAGATTTTTTGCTTGTTACTTGATTGACTTTATTCTAGTCAGACCTTGATCTTATGAATCAAAATTCAGCTTAATTTGATAAATGTATTCCAAGGCTATATCTGATATAATGTACCGAACATCATTGACCCGGAGTTCATATTTCCGGTATGACGAACTATAATATCAAATCGGATATATCTCAACCAATTTTCACCAAATTTGACGGACCAAAATTCATCATTCAGCTAAAGACATAGATGTGCTCGAGAAATGGTCCATTTTTGTCACTTATTTGAATATGGACCCAACAAGAAAGATATCTTTGGCTAAAAAAAAAACAATTCCAATATTGTTATTAAAAATATTGCCGAAGAATTATGTTCTTTCTTCATTGGTTCTCTTGTGTCTCATGGTGGACGACAGAGCATTGGCCTTGTTCGAATGAATTGTCTCTATTACCTTTTCCATTTTTTTATTTCGTATAATAACCAATACCAGCTACGAATAACTACTTATCATACATTTGCATTCAACTAAAAAAATTATATAAAATTCCATTTCTTAAAAGATTTTTCCCTAAGGGAAATATTTTTTTTTAATATGCAAGTTAAAAACGTTTTCATTTGCTCGCTCATTTATCGTTAAACCAAACGCCGATTATCGAAACAGCAATCAATAAAAGCATATTAATCCTCCATCATAATTACAGCTTTCAGCGTGTAATATGGAAAAAGTAGCTCGATAGCATTGTGCACCCAAGCTTATTTGAGTGACATTACTAAATGTCTTTCGAGGGCTTATCATTATTTCATGAAAATCACATTACGTCCTTCAATATCACTCGAATGCAGTTGAATCTGTTCCCTCGCTTGCAATTGCTAATGGATTAACTCTTTTTAATGTCTTCACTTGTAGGTACTTTCGACGTCCGAAGGCAATGTATTGGAAGATGAAAATGCCATTAATATTCTGTCATCGAGCAAAATTTTATCAGAGCAAATCCAAGAGAAACAAGTCATTGCGGTGGCAACTGAAGCGGAAATTGACGAAGCTCGCCAACGTTACATACCAGTGGCTAAACATTCGGCCATACTGTTCTTCTGCATCAGTGAATTGGCGAACATTGATCCGATGTACCAATACTCCTTGGGCTGGTTTTTGAATCTCTTCGTTAATGCAATACTGAAGGCACCCAAGTCATCACAACTGGCAGAACGTTTGGATAATTTGAATAATTATTTTACAAAGTCGATATATCAGAATGTGTGTCGTTCACTGTTCGAAAAAGATAAACTTGTTATATCGCTGGTGATGTGCTTGGGCATTCTCCTATCGCGGGTAAGTAAGGAAAATAATTAAGAAATGATGGTTTACAGTAAAATAGAGTATTCAGAAAGTATTTTACAAAGAAATATTTTGAATATATAAGAATAATTTCACATGAAAAGTACAACTGAAACTCTTCAAATACATGGACTCTGTGGTTAAGCCTTATTCCGGTGGGCATTCTCAAAACTCAAAACAACGTGTTTTCATGATGAAACAGCCAGTTGTTATTACGAAAAATGTCCATTCCATTGCTAATGGAATAGAAATATAGTAATAAAAGAATTTAAAAAACAACTACGAGATATTGGATTAAACGACACTCCAAACCGTAATAAACATGTGTACAGGGTGAGATGAAAAAACTGCAACCAACTTTAGACTGTTGTCATTTTTAAGCACTCGCCCGACAGCTGTTGAAATTATCCCAGTGACAGCTCATTTTATTTTTTACAAGCGTTCAAAAGCATTTTGTGAGAATTTTCCAGAGAAAAGTTATTCGTGATGGAATTCAAGCGTGATAGTATGATTTCTTTATATTTGGCTGGAAAACAACAAGTGGCTATCGTTAGAGCACTCCAACATTTAAATGTGAATAAATCGTTTGTATCTCGTACCATTGCTCGTTACCATGATACTGGTTGCGTAGCCCGACGTCAAGACAGTGGACGGAAGAAAACAGCAACATCAGCAGAATTGGTTCGAAAAGTAAAGAAGCGACTCGATCGAAACCCGCGTCGCAGTGGTCGAAACATGGCTCGTGAGCTGAACATACTGCAATAGTCTATTCGGCAAATATTGAAAAATGAGCTCGGGGTAAAGCCATTAAAATTCCAAAAAGTGCTTACACCGCAACAGGAAGAAAATAGACTCAAAAGAGCTAAAGAGTTGCTTCGCTTGACCGAAAGTGGTGAACTGCCGAATTTGGTTTTCTCCGATGTTGTAAACAAACAAAATGATCGTGTTTACTTACCAAAGAAGTCAGCTGAAAATATGCACCTTCGGTTGGCCACTAGAACTCAAGAGCCGGCCATGGTGATGGTGTGGGCCGCCAAAGCAGCCGATGGTCGCTCTCCGAAAGTATTATTCGACCGTGGCATCAGAATAAATGCCGAATATTATCGCGAAAATATCCTGGAGGGTGTATTACAGCCTTGGGAACGCAAACATTTTGCCGCAGACCTTAGACATTCCAATAGGACTCAGCACCATCGCTCTCAGCACGCGCCACCCAAGAATGGTAACAAAATGAGGTTCCTCGCTTTATTTCCAGCTCACAATGGCACCAAAATCTTCGAAAACCAATCCGTTGGACTATTGTGCCTGGAGAATTTTGGAAAGCAAGGTTGGCACTAAAAAATACCAAAGTGTCGATCACCTCAAGCAAGCGCTGCGCCGGGAATGAGCCAAAATACCGCAGAGCCAAATCGGGCAGCGTGTGACGGTTTCATTGGCCGTTTGAAGACCATAATTCGTGTCAAATTTGACCAATTCGAACAAATCTAAACTTATTGTAAAATTTGATATTATTTCCGAAAATTTTTGCTTTCATTCAATAAAATTAAAAAAAAAATGTAAAAATTATGTCGTTTGACTTTGTTGCAGTTTTCTACCTCACCCTGTATATGTCTAATCTCGAATCGAGTCAATATAATTTTAACAAGTAAATAATACCTACAACATTTGCAACGAATTTGGCAATTTTCAAGGGAAAAAATCCGTTATATTAGGGTCTATACGACGACGTGGACCTTCATGGGCAACTTTTGTCATAAGTCATTACAATATTCAAATGCGAAACTTGAAAGAAAATATAGCTAAAATCATAAAAGTACCGAATATAGAGAGGTCCCGTTATATGGGTGCTATACGAAGTCGTGGACCTGCACAGATAATTTTCTGTCATAGACTGTAGTATCCATTACGAACTTCAAATACCAAATTTGAAACAATTCTGGTGAATAATGTCGCTCAAACCATCAAAATTCCGAATATCGGGAGTTACCGTTATATGAGGGCTATACGAAGACGTGGACCTACATGACACATTTTCAATACAAACCAGTAAAGAAAGTCTTAAAGTCGGGCGGCGCCGACTTTATGATACCCTACACCACTTTGCTAATTAAGTAGAGCTCCACATAACAATTAAAAGTTTCTATGGGAGAATTCAATCATACACGCTATGATTATAATTATAATTTAAAGTTCAAAGGACTAAATTCGGAATTGTATTGCCCATTTGGTGCACAATTAATTTGAAATCGGATAAAGATATATATGGGAGTTATATCCAAATCTGAACCGATCTCGATAAACTTTGGCAACGATATTTCTGAGCTGTATTTGATATATTTCCCTGAATATCGTTGTTACAGAGTGCATATTACGGTTGTGGGTACCAAATATAACAAATCGGATGAATAATATATATGGAAGCTATAACTATATCTGAACCGATCTGAACCAAATTTGACATACTAGCTACTAGACTCAATTCGGTCGTAAGTGCCAAATTCCATCCCATTTGGACAAATATTAGACGTTTGGTGCACAATAAAAGGTAAATCGGACGATGTTATATATGGGAGCTATATCCAAATCTGAACCGATCTCGATAAAATTTAGCAAATGTATTTCTGAGCTGTATTTGATATATTTCCCCAAATATTGTTGTTGCATAGTGCATATTACGGTGGCGGTGGACAAAAATAACAAATCGGGTGAACAATATATATGGAAGCTATAGCTATATCTGAACCGATTTCGATCAAATTTGGCATACATATTTTCAGGCCTAATATGGGTGTATGTGCAAAATTCCATACAATTCGGGCTGATATTACACGTTTGGTGCACAATAAAAGTCAAATCGGACGAAGATATATATGGGAGCTATATCCAAATTTTGACCGATTATCTCCAATTTCAATAGGGTTCGTCCTTAGGCCAAACAAAAGACCTTTGCAAAATTTCATCTGGATCGGGCAATAAATGCGACCTGTACTTTGTTTACAAAAATACATGGACAGACGGACGGACGGACGGACAGACGGACGGACGGACAGACGGACAGACGGACGGACGGACATGCATAAATCGACTCAGAATGTGATTCTATGCAGATCATCAAAAGGAACTATGGGTCTATCTCGTTTCCTTCTGCCTGTTACAAACAAATGCACAAAGACATAATACCCTGACCACCTTGTGGTGTAGGGTATAAAAATCCTGCAGACATAATATACATTTGATCAAAATTTTATCAACCTTCTTCATTTCGTTCGGAAGCTAGAGTGACTTCCACAGATGGATAGACGGGCGGACATCGACATAGAATTTTATGCTGATCAAGAATATATATACTGTGTGTGGTCTAAAATATATATTTCGAGGTGTTACAAACGGAATGACAAACTTAATATACCCTCCATACTATGGTGGAGGGTATAAAAACAACTACGAGATATTGGGTTAAACGACACCCAACGCGATAATAAGAATGTATATATGTATAATAAGAATGTATGAATGTATATATGTATAATAATGTGTTAGAATGTTATAAGTTTGATTGGTACAAAAACATTTTAACACCCCGAAATATTGGTACTGGACATAGGATGTTACATATGAATCGTCCTATATCGCCGAGCTTAGTGGTTCTAGTCGGGTGCTTTGTAAGCACTCTACAGGTCGCAGTTATGGCCCGATTCGCAAGAAATTTGGTTTGGAGTTGAGTGTTAAGTTACAATAGAAGTCATTTTTTGAGGGAGATGATCGTAAAATATTGAGCTGAATGTAACTTTCAGGCGAAATCACAAATATAAAAAACCGCACTTTTGATTTTTTCTTTGATCCTGATTTCGTTGACGAATATAGCCAAATATCGGAGAAATGATTTATGTAGACTAATCAAAATTTTGAAATATTGTTTGAATATCCATTGGAATGACATAGGATGTGAATGTAGGGAAAATGTCACGAAATATGCATGACCTCGTGAGTTCGGTCAAAAATCAATTATAAATCATTTACTTTTGTAATTAAATTATAGATGGAGACGGTTTTAGAAAACATTTGTTTTAGGTTTATAAAGGTTGTTTGAGAAGGGAACAAATATTTTCTTCAAGCTTGGCACATTCAACCTCAACAATTGACAATTTTCGAAAAAAAAAAAAAAACAAATTAAAAAGTATTTATCGGTTTTGCCGACAGCTGTATACCCTTAGCCAATGTTCGATTATTTAAATATATTTTGACATCTGTTTTGATTATTAAAATTGTTGAACCTGTATGGAAAGAAAGAACCAATTCAAAAATCTTGAACCCTATGTGGGCGAGGTACCAGAAGGAATGGTCACCAGTAAAATAATTTTTTTGAAAATATCGACCTTTTGTGTTTGACTTAGTGGATCATCTCCGAACTCGATCTGAATTTGATGATAATTTTACGATGTACCAAGTTTGGACAAAATCGGATACCCCCTAGAGTGTTATCTTGCGCACCAACCAATGAGACAGACAGCCGGACGGACATTGCTACATCGTCTCTAAAGCCGATATTTGTATGAGGCACGCTTTGGCCGTATCAAATGATATATACACTCTCTAGACATATGGCTGAGCGTATAAAAACATATGGATAATTAATTTAATTGTGTTTAACACATATTTTGCATATATACATTAAAAACATTTTCCAAAAGTATAAACTTTCTCTAAATTCCTTATTTTTTTGCCTTTACTTTTATTGATTTTGCAGTAAAAAAATAACTGTATGATCCCTGTTCTATTATTGATTTAATACAAAAATACATATTTTACGATCAAAACATATATACACTTTAACTAATATTGCCTTTATTTTTATCTGAATATTGACAACGTTATACTTTTTCCTTTAAATCCCTTTTGGCATTAATTAAAAACGAAACAAAACAAAACGGAAACTACAACAAAACAAGGGTAAAATAAATAAATCCCATTTGCTGTTCTTTTTAACGGGAGGCGTTGGACTGCAAAGCATTCCACCTAATCCAGCATCGTCATGGCTTCCGGAAAAGGCTTGGTTTCAAATAGTTCTTGCCAGCAACTTGGAGGGGTAAGTACTTTAGTTTATTTTTTTGCTTTTACTTAATCTTCAATTCCGAATGCAATTCAAATTATTTGTATATTAATGTTGACGGTGCTCCATTTAAATACGAGTACAGTGCTACATGCTTTTAATACTTTTCCAGCAAAGTTTAAAGGTCTATGCGTTTAATGGGCCTTTCAGTACTATAAATTCAAAATCGATAGCATTTCATATACTAGATATATAATATAAAGTAATTAAAAGTTTGTTGCATCCTATTTGCAATTAAACTTGGCCCTTCTACATGTTAATTTAATTTTCGATCGTCATTTTTATTTGCATCCAAAATAGTCTTAATACCTTCCGCTATGGAAAAAATCTTTGAAAATAACAGTATCGAGATTCAAAATTAGGGCATATTCTATTTTAAACAGTAAATGCCAATGTAACCGATAGAAGAATGCAGTTAAGCCCTCAAAAAACCGTTAAGAAAGTAGTATCGTTATATGGGGACCGGAAAGTGGAACTCAATTTCGAGTTATTTTGAAGGGAAAAATATTTTCATCTTCGAGTTTTACTGTAATTATTTAATGCAATCACCTATATATAAATGTTGTACCCGTTGGGAACTTGAACTTGGGAGGGGCAGTTATGTAAGGTTAGTATACTCCCCAAAAACCCGAAATACAAAGCTTTAGATAAATATATAGGAAAACTTGGCCAAGATCCTCAAAATAGTTAAGAACAGGAGGTACATTCATATGAGGGCTACTCCCAAACATTGGACTACATTCAAAAATCTCTGTGAAAAGGTCCTCTACTCACCGAAAAACAACAAGTACAAAAGCAGCTAAGTTCGACCGGACAGAACTTTGAATACCCTATTCAATTTGGGAGAAACTTAATAAATTTCAAAAAATTCCGCAAATACCGCTTAAATGAAAACCGTTATACGGAGGCTATACGAAGACGTAGATCGATATAACTACTGTCTTAATTCGTTCGAAAGATAGCGTGATAAAAACAGACGGACGGACATTGCTAAATCAACTTAGAATGATCCAGAATATATACTTAGTAGTATGAATAATTCGGGAACTTACAAATGGAATGAGAAAGCTAATATACCCTCCACCATTATTTAAAACAAGTGCCTATTCAATTGAAAAATGTGTTCAAGACCCTCGAAATAACTATGATCAGGAGGTTCCTTCATGGAAGGCTTGTGCAGTTTAAAAAGAATCTTAGAAATTATAAGGGTTTTCATTACATAACATTTTATACCCTACACCACATAGTGGTAAGGGTATTATGTCTTTGTGCATTTGTTTGTAACATGGAAAAGGAAGCGAGATAGACCCATAGTTACTTTTGAGGATCTCCATAGAATCACTTTATGAGTTGATTTATGCGGTTTAGATTTGGATATAGCTCCCATACATAACTTCGTCCGATTTACCTTTTAATGTGTACCAACGTCTAATATTTTCCCAAATTGGATGAAATTTGGCACTTACGACCGAATTGTGTCCAGAAGTCAAATTTGGTGAAGATCGGTTAAGATATAGATATAGCTCCCATATATATTGTTCATCCGATTTCTAGTATTTGTTACCCACAGCCGTAATATGCACTCCGTAACAACGATATTTCAGGAAATATATACAGCTGAGAAATATATTTGCAAAAATTTTTCGAGATCGGTTCAGATTTGGATATAGCCCCCATATATCTCTTTATCTGATTTTAAATTAATTTTGCACCAAATGGGCAATACAAGTCTGAATTTAAAAGATACAAATGCTTCGGCATATTTGGTCCTTTGAACTTTAAATTATAATTATAATCATAGCGTGTATGATTAAAAAACTTTTAATTGTTACGTGGAGCTCTACTAAATTAGCAAAGTGGTGTAGGGACTTTCTTTACTGGTTTTACTTGTAACATTCCCCAATAAATCATTTTTCATATATTTTTTGTTTTACTTAAAAAAATAGTTTAACAGATTTTTATAAAAATTTTCAATCTAATATCGACGCTTGGAAATGCTATTATGATTTGCAAACGCCTGAGGAAGCAAAATTTCCTCCGCCATACGACAACATTGATGAAATGTTGGGTTTAATAATACTGAAATGTTTGAGGTCGGATAAAGTTGTGCCAGCTGTAAGGGTAAGTTGTCAATACATATTATCAAAGAAAATAATAATAGACCTGAAATGAAAAATTGTGTTCTTTTCAAAATATTTAAGAATTCTGAAAAAAACTCAATCTCATTATAAGTATGAACTCTTATTATAAATATGATTTTTTAATTCTGAAATGTTACATATTGTCACATTTTGATACCATTTTTCAACACAACTAATATTCACACATATATCTTCTTCTTCTTCTTCTATATCTATAAAAGAGGAAAATGTTTGTATGTTTGTTTATTTGCTTGTTTGTTTGTTTGTAATTTATGGACTCGAAAACCGCTGAATAGATTTTCCTGAAAATTTGCATATATACTGCAACATCGCCTGAAAGTAACATAGGCTATATACATTTTTGAATTTCCACTTGGAACTGGAGATATAGCATCAGAATCGGAGGTATCTCCCAAAAATTTAGATTTTATATGCACATATCTTTCGATTGGTTGAAGATACAGTCTCCAAATTTGGAATACGTAACGGAATTTGGAACAAAAATAAGTTTGCCAAATTATATTGTAATCGGTTCAGATTTGGATATAGCTCCCATATATATTTTCGACCGATTTCGTTCATTTGATGCCTTAAACACATTACGAATGTTCGATTCCAATGAAATTTGGAATGTGTGACGGGATTTAATCCGAAAATAAATTTGTGAAATTATATTGAAATCGGTTCAGATTTGGATATAGCTCCCATATACATTTTCGGCCGATTTCAAGCATTTGATGCACCTAACACGCTATGTATCCTCAATTTCAATGAAATTTAAAACGTGTGATAGATATTATCTAAAAAATTGATTTCTCAAATTATATTGAAATCGGTTCAGATTTGGATATAGCTCCCATATACATTTTCGGCCGATTTCATGTATTTGGTGGACCAAACACGATATGTATTTCTAATTGTAATGAAATTTAAAATAAGTAACGGAATTGGGAGCCAAAATGAATTTGTCAAATTAAATTGAAATCGGTTCAGATTTGGATATAGCTCCCATATATATTTTCGACCGATTTCATGTATTTGATGCACCAAACACGCTATGTATCTCTAATTTCAATGAAATTTGGAATGTGTAGCGGAAATTAAAACAAATATACATTTGTCAAATTATATTAAAATCGGTTCAGATTTGGATATAGCTCTCATATATACTTTCGAACGGTTTCATGTATTTTATGCACCATACACGATATGTATGTTCGATTCCAAAGAAATTTGGAATATGTGACGGGATTTTGATTAGAAAATGCATTAGTCAAATTATATTAAAATCGGTTCAGATTTGGATATAGCTCACATATTTGCTGCACAAAACACGATACGTATTTCCGATTCCAATGAAATTCGGCATGAGTGGCTAAATTTGGTACAAAAATAAATTTGACAAATTATATTCAAATACGCTCAAATTTGATTATAGCTCCCATATATATACTCAGCCGATTTCACATATTTGATGCACCCAAAGCGAGAGAGACAAAATCTGGCACCAAAAAAAATTGCCAAATTATATTGAAATCAGTTAAGATTTGGATATAGCTCCCATATATTATCGGCCGATTTCACATATTTGACGCACCAATTTCAATGATATATGAAAAGTGTGGCGGAGTTTGGTGTAAAAGTATTTTTTTTTTTTTAAATTATATTTAAATCGTATCAGATCATCAATCATATCCCAAGATTTTAATAAGAACCATTGACCCACAACGCCTTAGGCTAACACTAAAAAAAACACAACAATTGATTTGAAATACGCTTATTACGGCGAAGTAAGTTGCTATCTCGAATTCACTAATTGCAATAGAAATGCCACTCAAATTCAAAAGATTGCAATTTACTGCACGCTTGGTATTTGCTATGAAATAAATAAATCCGAAGGACAAACCCTTCGTGTGTGTATGTCATGTTACTGATTTTCTAATGGTTTTGGTTATTTACGCATTAAAGTAGTGCAATAATTTTTTTTTTTAATTTTTAAATTTGTTTTTTTTTAACCAACATATATTCGTAAAAAAATTTTTGAATGCATATAAAATCAAAAGGGGTAGCGAAGCGCACCGGGTTCAGCTATAACACATAAAATTGCGGCTACATAATTACTATTGATAGGCTACATCCCATGACTGGTGTAACCACATTCAATTGTATGTAGAGAACAAGTAAAAAAAGAGAAATTGATTCGCGTACGAAATTATTCACTTTACATTTCATATTGTAACTTATAAAAGCAATTTTACAATTTGTAGCTGTTTTAAGTTGTTGTCGTTCCTGTCGCAAACTGAACAAATAAAATGTAATTAATTGTGATGTATGGTTTCTTTTCTTTTTCTCCTCCTATATGCAGTCCTTTATTACCCGGAATATGGATCGCTCGTTTGTGGAACCGCCTCCTTTCGATTTGAATGAATCATTTGCTGATAGCTCACCCAGGATACCATTGGTGTTTCTACTCTCTCCTGGCTCTGATCCGATGTCCAGTCTTTTTATGTATGCCAAGCAGCGGAATATGTACGACAAGTAAGTCAATTAAATTCAACAAAGAAGAGTGCTGCACTCCGAAAAGGGACAATTTTAGAGTGACTTAAAATAGAAATTGATATATTTTGAAAATGAATTTGCTAATAATTAGAAACCACAATTTTTCAGAATTGAACCCTCAATTTTTAGTTGATCGTGGAAAACTTTAGACACAAGGCAATTTTTGTATACGCAAATATAATTAATGGGATATATTTTATTTATATGATGATTGGTTCCGCTTCCATTTTAGCCAGTGGAATGGAATGGAAAAGGTCTTTAAAATATCTTAAAGTCGATGGTATCTTGCGATACAGAAGATAGAACCCATTACAAACTCAAAATGGGCTAAAATCATCAGAATATGGAATATAGGGAGATACTACTATTTTAGAAAATAAAGCTTAAATCCCAAAAATACCAAATACCGGGAGGTACCGTTACACGACAACTATATGAAAACGTGGACCTATATATACAATGATCTGTCATGGAAGGTTGAATCCGTTATAAACTCAAAGTACAGAATTATATATAATTCTGGTATAAAATGTGGCAAATCATTAAAATACCCAAGGGGAGTTTCCGAACTATGGGGGTTATAGGACAACGTGAACATATATTCGCTACCTCTGTATTACAATTTTTTTATACCCTCCACCATACATAGTATGGAGGGTATACTAAGTTCGTCATTCCGTCTGTAATTCATCGAAATAATAATTTTAGACCCAACAAAGTACATATATTCCTGATCAGCGTACAATTCTTACCCTGTCCGTCTGTTTAAATCACGCTAGAGACAAAAGTAATTAAGATCGAAAGCTAAACTTTTGCACAGATCTGTCTTTTGTCTGCAGACAGGTAAAGTTATCGATATCATATAGCCCCCACGATATCCGGTATTTTCATGATTTTTCAATGAAATTGTCTGAAATTCTGCACAAGGAGTTCTTTGTGAGTACTTTACCCCCCTGAAAGGGGGTCTATATAGGTCCACGATATCGTATATCTCCCATATTACGATACCTCCCTATATTCCGTATTTTAATGATTTTAGCGACATTATTAACCAGAATTCTTCGAAAAAAATATTTTAGTTCGCAATGCGTAGTACAACCTTTGAAGGAAAATTGTCTAGGCAGGTCCACGTCTGCCACATATAACGGTACCGCCCTTTATTTGACATTTTGGTGATATCAGCGAAATTATTCAACGGAATTATTTCAAATTTCGTCAAATTCAAAGATTAAAAGATTTTTGAATGTAAAAGGTAAAAATTTTTCGAAAAAGCGAAAAACTTGTATAAAATATAAAACATTCAAAGTCTGAAAATTTAGTACGATGTATGAAGTTTTGATTGAAAAATTTTGTTAAACTGAACATATTGTGCATTTTGAGTACTAAAAAATACTAATAGTACAAAAATAATATCTAAAATTTTAAGGTGAACTTTTCGCTTTAGGAGACAAATGCTAGTATGCAATAATGCAATGTTTTTGTATACTGAATAAAGTGGATATTGTAAAATTTTAAACACTCCAATAAACAACACCCTTTATTTGGTTGGACAACGGCAATGATTATGTCCTTGTTAGTATAATTGGTCTTGTGTTTTCCATTGGGCACTTCATCACAAATAGGACAGACACTCTTTTTCATTCAACTGTTCAGTTCTGTGTAACAAGCCCGTCTTTTAACGCTTCGGCATATACAACACTAAAAGTAAGGAACGAATGTAAGAAAATGGCCGAGTTTTAAAGTGTTTGCAAAATTAATCTTGGCATTGCAAATCAGCATGGGTTGTGACCATTAATCGTATTCGTTTGAAACAATTTAGATATACTAAAATATATTTTAATCCATCGCAACAACAGTGTCTCAATGTTTAATATCACTTGATCAGCTTTAAATATTAAGCCTCTAAAAGGCTTCAAGACTTAATTTTCGGGCAACAAAAATGTGCTCATACCGTAAAGTTAGGAAAACTTTTAATCAATCACAAAAGAATATTTATTCGTGTGTATTAAGAAACAACACACAGCAAGTGCTGGTTTATGGATGTGAAGTTATGACAATAGTCCGTTACATGAAACAATAAGTCGGGAAAAGTCGACTTTAGTTCCCAATCTATGTCGGTTTTAAATATTCCCACAAATCTGTGGAGGTATAATAATGAATGGACCAATATTATATGCTCTTGCACCTTATCTAAATATTAGGTTCGCTGAATATGAAAATTGTATGTTTTTTATTCCCTCCACCATAGAGTGGAAGGTATATTAAGTTATCCTCTCTGTTTGTAACACCACGAAATGTATATTTCATACATATCGCAATATTAAATTCGACAAATATTGAAAAATGAGGTCGGGGTAAATCCAATAAAATTCCAAAAAGTGCAAGAACTTAAACCGCAGCTGAAAGAAAATAGACTCAAAAGAGCTAAAGAGTTTCTTGGCTTGGTCAAAAGTGGTGAACTGTCAACTTTGGTTTTCTCCGATGAGAAAACATTCGTTGTCCTGCAGTTTGTAAACAAACAAAATGATCGTGTTCACTTGCCAAAGAGGTCAGCTGAAAATGTGCACCTTCGGTTGGCCGCCAGAACTCAAGCGCCGATGGTGATGGTGTGGGCCGCCATAACAGCCGATGGTCGCTCTCCGCTCGTATTAATCGACCGTGGCATCAGAATAATTGCCGAATATTGTCTCAAAAATATTCTGGAGGGTGTATTAAAGCTTAAGGCACTCAAACATTTTGGCTGCAGACTTTGGACATTCCAACAGGGCTCAGCACCATCGCTCTCAGCACGCGCCACCCAAAAATGTTTACAAAATGAGGTTCTTCGATTCATTTCCAGCACGCAATGGCCACCAAAATATCTGGATACCAATCCGCTGGACTATTGTGTCTGGAGTATTTTGGAAAGCAAGGTTGGCACTAAAAATACCAAAGTGTCGATCACCTCAAGCAAGCGCTTCGCCGGGAATTGGGCCAAATTCCGCAGAGCAACATTCGGGCAGCATGTGACGGTTTCATTGGCCGGTTGAAGGACATAATTCGTGCCAAAGGTGACTAATTCGAACAAATCTGAACTTATTGTAAAATTTGACATTTATTGCTTTCATTCAAAAAAAAAAAAAAAAAAAAAATGTAAAAATTATGGCGTTTGACTTTGTTACAGTTTTTTTTATCTCACCCTGTATATTCCGTATTTTCTTGATTTTAAAAGCATTTTCAACGGTTTTTTTTTCTAAATATTTGCAAATCCTTTTTTTCCAAAATATTTTATTTTAAAAGGGCGGACTTGTATATTCCATTTTCATACGTGCTCTAACATAGACCAAAATATTGGAATGTACTAATTATACCCTACAACACTATGTGTTGGAGGTATTATAAGTTTGATTGGGATAAACAGCCTCGAAATATTGGTTTCCCACATAGGAAAGTATATATGGATCATCCTAGCTCGCCGAGCCGAGTCGATCTAGGTATGTATGTCCGTCCGTCCGTCTGACCGTCTGCCCATGTTAATTTGTAATCAAGCTACAGGTCGCAATTATGGAACGATCTTCGCGAAATTGAAAATGGAGGTGGGGTTATGGTCAGAATAGAACCCAATTGTTTTTGGAGATGATTGCGCAATATTTAGGGGTTGAAATGGACCAAAAACAGAAAATTTTCATGATTTTGCAGTTGCTCTATAAGCCACAATTATGAACCAATCGACGTGGAAATTTACATGGAGTTAGAGTTTAGGACTGGGCAGAAGCCTACTAAATTGGGCGACCATCGGACAATATTTAGCGGGTAAAATAGACCCTAACTTTTATGTAAGTAATAGGAAATTTTCCACTAAACCGCGAATATTTTTAACCACAGCCATATCACAAATACATTAAAAGGTCACTTCTGACCATTTAAGTGATGCTGATAGCCAAGAAATCGAATATATAGCAAAATATTTACAATATATATATACAAGAATAGATCTTATTTATTCTGTAATAAGTCAAGAACCGCTAGGCCGATTTTCACAATTCCCATCAATTCGGAATTGTCTCTTACCAGAAAAGGATAAAATCTAAGAGACTCGCGGAAAAATATAGCAAGAAAAAATTTAATATCTTTTGTTCCATTTTTTTCAATTTTTGTCATATTTTTTATCGCGTGCGATTTTTTCAATTTGACTTCCAATTTTGAATTGTAAATGTTTAATTAATTTTGCACTGTGCAACACTACGTTTTGAGGGGATTATATGCATGTCGCAATTATCGTCCGATCATCACGAAATTTTGTATGGCGGTAGGTTAGGGCCAGAATTAAAGCCTATTGTTCTTAAGATGTGCATTTAAGGGTTTCAAATGGACTAAAAAAATAAAACTTTTCTAATTTTGTCGTCGCTGTATAGACCACAATTAAAAACTAATCGACACGGAATTTTGCATCAGACAGGGGCATTATTTTTAATATTATTTCAAATACGAAATCTTCCACAATGGACTTGGACATAAGGGATTTCGAACCAATTGTAGTGTTGTAGGGTATCACATGGTCGGCCCCGCACGACTACAGCCTTTGCTTACTTGTTTTAATTAAAATTGGCCATTTTTTCCATTCAAAACCGTGGACCGATATATTAAATATTCACATTGGGTCTAATGTCGATAAAAGTAATTTGTTGAGCAAAATTAAGAGAAACATTTTGCTTGATATCGTTACTCAGGCCAAAAACCAAGATTCAAATGGACCAAAGACATATATAGGCATGGAAAACATTAAATGGTCATTCAGATCAACAGAAACGTAACCTCAAAATATAGTGGTGTAGGGAATCACATGGTCGGCCCAATCCGACTATAGTATTTGTTTACTTCATTTCCTTCGTCAGCTGTTCAATTGTTTCTTAAATTTTTATTCCATTTATTTTATTGAATGTCATAAAATTGCTCACATTAAGAAACAAGTAGCACTTGCTTTCAGAACTAATTACCCG